CATTCATGTCTGAATTCATTGCTTCTGCACTTAATAGTAGATAGTGCTTTTCATCTTCAAAAATGAAACTTATCAAACAGTTGTAACTCAAAATAGGAACTGAGGGCCTTTTTATGCTTGAACTTTGTAGACCAGTTGCAATGCCTTCTTACAAAATGTTAATTTCAGCTTTGGCGAAATTATTTATTACAAATTGGTTTCATGAAGCTTTATTAACCAGAATAGTCAGATGATTATTCTGTTTTAAGTCAGTGTTATATTTCTCTTTATAACCATCTCAGTTCATAGAAGTCCCAGGTTTAAAGTCAGACAATGAAATTCAGAAAACCAACATGTTTTATATCATTATGACATGATACATATCAATTTTCATTTTGGATCATATAGAACTGTACAGACTATCATAGCTGTGGAGGGTGTAGAATGTACATCTCGCATAATTCAAAGGAACACCATACATAAGTGACTGTTTATCTTTGGGGCATCAGTAAAGAGGGGTCAGTGATTTAAAGTTGCCAATAAGAGTCTGAATACTGTAGTTAATAGAAATCTTTTCAAAAAACAGTTGTTAGAACTTTTAAGGGAATAATGGATAAATACTTGAAGCAGCTGTATTAATGCTATGGATGAGCAACAAGGCAGGAAGACTAGTTTTGTAGCAAAGCATTGACATAATTTGCTGAATACCTTCTTCTGTGCTCCTAACTCTGCAGTTAATATGAATGTAGATTTTGAAAAATTTTAGAAAACCTGGACTAGGCTTAATAATTTAGAAGGATTTCCACATCTATTACCTCTATTTGACTTACCTTATTCTGTTATTATTGCCTTTTCCAGGAGATTGCATTATTTTTGAGAGGGAAGGGACTATATATGTTGCGACATATCACAGCTCCATCAATAGTCTCAACAGATTTCTTGTTTTTGATTGTTTTTGTGTTAGTTTGTAAATGCTAATGATATATAGATACTTCTGTTGGAATTATTTTAATATACAAACTGACAACTTTGCAACATTTAAGTGGAAATATTTTGGGAAAACATCAAATAACACAGGGCTACTATAATAAAATAACACATTGAGAAACTGAAATAATCACCCATGAGATTGAAGTTGGGAATTTCCAAATAATATCTTGACTCTGAGTCTTGCTGTTACTTTTGAAGACAGTCCTGATTTATTCTGTGTAGTACCATGAATAGACACATTGGACTGAACCTTTTGGCTAAGCGCGAGCTGTGTCAAGTTTTTTAGATGGATTTTTGCTGTTAGGCCGAGCAAAATTACTGAATTAAATTGAATTGAATTAGCTTTATTGTCACATGTATGCAATTAAGTACAGTGAAAAGTTTGAGTCTCCACTTACAGCGCCATTTTAGGCACAGAATACCTAGGTATAATCCTTATTAACTACTTCCCCGATCCCTGTCGCACCCCTCACATCCACTTCTCTCCCTATCTTACTATGCACCATTCCTGGAATACTTTGTCATTCAATGGATACCAGCAAAAAGACTAGAATCCTTTGTGCCTGTGCGCTCTTTAAAAGCCTGTTGTGCACCCAGGCACACACTATAAGTCCAGAGCTGTCCTGCGTGGTTCCTGACATTTGCCTAGACAAGGGGTTACTGCTATCCCTGTTTGCGGGCTGGGACCTGGATGTCCTGCCAGATGAGGTGGAAATATGGGGCAGAAAAGGCCACCATACCCCCACCATGTACCCCACTGGTACAATGTTGCCATCTAGGGCAGTACAATATCAGCTGTCTGGAAGAATGCCTACATTGTAGGACAGAGGTCAATGACTTTCCCACTCCACTGGTCTAAATGTCACTATCTTCTCTCTGATACCTCACATTCACTCTATCTCTGCTGATGTACCCAGCTTCTACAAAAGCTCATGCTTTACCAGTCTCACTATTGCCTGCAATCTTCCCCCACTCATTGTAACCTACCCCAGCGCCTGACATCACTGACTGTGCATGCCCTCTGAAATGCTCAATCATGCGTCATGATCCCGCCCCCCCCGACCCCCCATGCACCAAAAGTAATAGCTGTACCACCCACTTTCATCTCCCTAAATACTTGCCTCTTTCTCAGTTTAGAAGACCATCAGCCCCCAACTGGGCAGAAAGACAGATGGTGGGCTGCGCGACACTCGACTCCTCATCTCTTTTGTGGAGAGGACCTCGAGTGCCTAATGGATCATGTCCAAGTCCCTGGACTGGTATTGGAGGCTTCCCTGGGCTTAGAGTTCTGGATACTCTAACTAAATGCTATCTCCTTTGACTTGACTGAGGCCTGCTGAAAACCATGATGACTTCCTGATTTTTGTATCTGCGATAAACAGTAAGTCAAGACAGAAGAATTGTGAACCTGTATCTCTGGCTGAAGGGGGAATGCACCAAAAGGCAGTACAAGGCATGGATGCTGTGGGCATGCAGATAGGATCAGAGTGAATAAGCACTTGGACAGCCAAAAAGATTCTGAAAATGCGTCCTGATCCAGTCCATGAGCTGGTTGCTTTGTCCTGCACGCAGTTTCCTTGCAGCGACATGACAACAATAGTTACTCAAGATGAAACACCGAAATGCAGAAGAATCTTGTAAGCAGTTTGGAGATGTGCCAAGTGGATTCTTAGAGACTGGCACACATCAGATGCCATTGGCCATGGATGTGGTTGCACCCCAAGATGCTGGCGCCTGGAGTCCAACATGGAAGTCCTTTGGAGCAAGTTGTAAGCTAATTCATCAAATATCTGCTCTAATGTTTTGCTTGTTCAGTGTGTTTGGTGAGAAATCAAGCTGAGTATTAATGAGATGTATAATGGTATAATTAAAGCCTTTAGCAGGTAATAATTTCCCTTAATTGGCAACACCCCACTGTATAGTGAGAATCTTGCCTCACTGCTCACCTCACCTTTTCTAATTCTGCCACAAGTCTCGCCATAATCTTCATTGCTCAGGCCTCTATAACATTGTGCCCATAATTATTTGCTATTGATTTATATTTCATGTTTTTAATAATGGGACTACAATGACTAAAAATATCTTCCGTAGTTGCTGTTGGACATGTAGAAATTTTGCCCACTGACATTTGTCAAGCTCTGTAATGGAAGTCTATTTTACTAGCCAAATCTTGTCAAACATGTCTTTCAATTGACTGACCCTCATTGATTACATCTGTGTGGAATTTCTGCTCCCAGTGGTGGTGAGCTTGGAGGCAGGCTGTTGATGTAGTCACCTTCTTGTCTCCAACAGAATGAGATTCAAGGAGGTAAAGATCCAGGGTCAACCTTCCTGCTCTGCAGTCAGTTGAGACCCTTAAGTGGTATCAGCTCTCTGCCTTGTTCCAGTCCTATTCTGGCCCCTATCCACAACTCTTTCTCTGATATATCGATGATATCATTGATGCTGCTTCCCTCTCTCATCTGGAATTGGAAACGTTCATCGATTTCGCTTCCAATTTCCACCCTGCCCTCACTTTCACCTGGTCAACCTTTGACTCCTCCCTTCCCTTCCTCGACATCTCTGTTTCCATCCGTGGGATAGACTGGCCACTAATATTCACTAAAAACCCATCAGCACCCACAGCTGTCTAGACTACACATCCTCACACCCTGCTTTCTGTAAAGACTCCATTCCATTCTCTCAGTTCCTTCGTCTCCATCGCATATGTTCCGAAGAGGCCAACTTCGACACAGGGACCCTCCGAAATGTCCACCTTCTTCCTCAACTGAGGATTTCCCAGCTCCGTTGTTGACAGGGCCCTCAACCAGGTCCCGACCCATCTCCCGCAATTCCACCCTCATCCCTTCTCTTCTCTCCTGCAACAGTGATAGGGTTCCCCTTGTCCTTACCTACCATCCCACCAGCATCCACATCCAGAAGATCATCAGACACCATTTCCACCACCTCCAGCAAGATGCCACCAGCAGACACTTATTCCCCTCACCTTACTTGTCCACCTTCTGCAGGAATTCTTCCCTCCAGGACACCCTGGTCCACTCTTTCTTCACCCCCAACACCTCCCCACAGTCCCATGGCACCTTCCCCTGCAAATGCCGAAGGTGTAACTCCTGCCCGTTTACATCCTCCCTCCTCAGTATTCAGGGGCCCAAACATACCTTCCGATGAAGCAGCACTTTACCTGCACTTCCCACAATCTAGTCTACTGCATTCGCTGTTCACAATGTGACCTCCCCTACATTGGGGAAATGAAGCTTAGACTGGGTGACTGCTTTGCAGAATATCTATGTTCTGCTTGCAAAAAAAACCCTGAGCTACCTGTTGCCTGCCACTTTAACGCACCTCCCTGTTCCCTGGCCAACATCGCTGGCTCAGGCTTGCTGCGGTATTCCAGCGAAATTTAGCGCAAGCTGGAAGAACAACACCTCATTTTCTGGTAGGGCACTCTGCAGCCCTCCAGACTCAATATCGAGTTCAATAGTTTTAGGGCCTCAACTCTCCCATGCTCTTGCCCCCAACCCCTCACACCAAGCCTTGTTATCACAGTCTGCTATTACACACTACCAATTATTAGCCACTAAGAGTCCCCATTAGCTGCTATTCACTCTCCTAGCCAGATCGTTATCCACTCCTTTGTCTGTCCAATTGTTCTCCTCTCTCTTTGGGCTCTATTCCCAGCTATCATTTACTCCTTACCCCTTCCCCCACCTTCTGCATATAAACCGACATTTTCCAAGCTACCATCAGCCCTGAGGAAGGGTCACCGGACCCGAAACGTTAACTCTGATTTTCTCTTCACAGATGCTGCCAGACCTGCTGAGCTTTTCCAGCAATTTCTGTTTCTGTTTGTGAAGTGAAACTATGCAAGCTGTTTGTCAGCTGATCCTGGGGATTGGAGACGAAGGGTAGTGATTCCTCAGCTAAAAAAAGTAACCTGTGTCTGCTAAGAGCCAGCTCCCTGCCTTTGTTTCTCTCTTTTACAGACCCTCTAACCTCAAAGCCCATTTCTCTAGCCCAAATAAATGACTTACTTTATTCTTCGTTCCTGTGTGATCCTGAGGGCTGCAGCCTCCTCTGTTATGATGCTGAATGTGAGAACTGCCAGGCTTTGAATGGTTGGCAGCTCTGGCTGAGTAGAACTTCTGTCACCATAGTCTTAATTCCAGGCAAAATCTTCATGTTGGCTTCATCAATGTCGAATGGCATTAGATTTGACAAACTTTTCCCAGAAGAGGCAATGAGGGTTTGTCACTGGCTTTCCAGCTGGCTGACAATGAGGCTCTTGCCATCACAACAAGGCTCCACCCTGTAGTTTTCTCTTTTGTAATTTCTAACTTTCCTGCGTATGCATTTATCAATATAAGTTGCTCCCCTACCCATTCAATCCAAAGACTACAACTGTATTTCACTCAATAAGAGTCAGCTTCTCCTATCATGACAATTCTTTATCCATCTCATCATGTTCACTGACAAATAGAATGTAAAGGAAACAGAGTAAAACTTCCCTACCCCTTCAAAAACAGATGGCTTTTTATGCATTTGAAAACTTTGAGACTTTGGTCTCACTCTTCCACACTTTATTAATCTTTATTGTTTAACTCACTTGCTGACCTGCACATTCCACAGAGGTTCTTGCGCTGTGTATTGAATGACAGATCGGGGGCAGTCCAAAGAAATGTGTGCACGGCTGCTTTCAGCCATTTATAACACGTTTCCCTGGGTTTCCATGGGGATGTATGTGCATACGTAATACATATTTTGTTGTTCCTGGTGTTGCCATGACTATCAGTTAATTTGGAGCTGTCAAAATTCTAACTGAAATATTACTGCTAGAAACCTATTTGTACAGCTCTAATTTCTGCATAATTACAATCAAAACAAGACAAAAAATGTATTTGGCTATCAATCCAGAAGTGGAGGTTTTAAACAACACTGAATGTTTGTAATCAATTTAATTATCGAGTGGAATAACATCATTTCTGAATGAGATCAGTCACATACAATTTGTATTCCTGTCAACTTGAAAACCCTTTTAGTTTCTGAGGACATTATCTCTAGGATGCATAATGATATTCAGACAAAGGATATCAAAGGATTGGATCTTTCAGGTCAAGTGGCTAGAGTGTTCTCTGTAATAATAATGATTAGAAAGTAGATGTAAATTTTGCACCATGAATATTGCAAAATGGTTCACGATTTAAAACATTCTTCAGCTAAATAATGTAACATTTGTCCACTTGTGCCATTTCCCCAGGGGTTCTACTTGTCTCCTGCCTTGGTATGAGGAGAGATGGGGAGAAGTGTCTCAGAATTTCAGGACTTAATGTTTGGAGCTGAATGTAATGCCTTCAATATTAACAAAATATTTGTTTGTGTGCGAATCCATCTCCGCTACAAAGCGGTTACACAGTGTGGAGCTGGAGGAACATAGCAGGCCAGGCAGCATCAGAGGTGCAGGAAAGTTGACATTTCGGGACCCTTCTTCAGAAATTTGTGATATGTGCAAAGTGAGGCTGGGTGTTGCAGCACAAGGATTCTTTTAAACAAATACCATTGTAATTAAGAGAGCTACCAGATATCTGAAGAAGGGTCCTGACCCGAAACGTCAGCTTTCCTGCTCCTCTGTTGCTGCCTGGCCTGCTGTGTTCCTCCAGCTCCATACTGTGTTATTTCTGACTCCAGCATTGGCAGTTCTTGCTATCTTTGCTACAAAGAGTTGCGTTTTTATGGAGACCAATGCCCACTACTTTAAACAATGCATGAGTAAACATGGTCTTTCTCTTCACATAATCAAAGGAAGTCCAATGTGCAGGCGTACAAATATATATTTTTGAAGAGTGAACTCTTACTGGGCTTGACAAATGGGAGATTTGGACTTTGTGAGGGATAGGAAAGGAAACTGAACACTTATGTTCAGATGAGGAAAGGGACAGAGAAGAGCAGAGAGATCCACATGCATTGAGGTAAAGAACAGAACAGAGAGACTGAAAGAGATTCACATGATGGGAATGGGACAGTGAGAGAGGAGAGATGTTTTGTTGGGACAAGGAAAGAAGGTAACAGAACGAAACTTCAACAGGAATAGAACAGATACAGACTCTGATGAGTATAATATAGAGAGATATTCTTTTAATTGTTAGCATAAAGAATCTGTTGAACAACTTGCTGAGCATGTGGGGAAGGAAGGGACAGGGCAGGATTTTCCTTGCAGGCTTTTGAACCCTGGAGTCAGGCTCAAATGGAGGTCAGCAAGCTGCACTATGTGGGAACAGTCATTCAATGTGATCTTCACCACATTGGCCAATTAAAAACCAAAGGGTGGGCTCATCATGCAATTTAGGGCAGCAGGCAGGATGTGCAGATAAGTAAAGATGAAGGTGCTACAAAATGGAGCCACACACCCTCTAACATTTTGAAATGTTAAAATAAAGTAGGCCCAGGTGCTGGGTCAGTTCTGTAGGCAGTGGATGTGGGGCAGGTGGGGGAGTGTGCAGGTAGAAGCTGGTTGGAAAGGGGAGGTTTGGAATGGGGAGTCCCTGCACAAGGCAACAGGCAGCTATAGCTGAAACTAGGCAGAAAACGAGGGTTATAGCTTTTGCTTAAAGCACTGGCCCCGCCGTTTGCCATTAGAAACTACCTTCACACAGCTAAACTGTCCCCTCGGCACCTATGCTGACCTGAAGGCTGATTGAAAAATCCCAGTCGCTATCCTACAATTGACTTTAAGTGACCATTAACAGGGTGAATAGACTATCTGCAACTTGTGGGTGGATATCCCTGAAATCTCATCCTTCCTCTGGGGAAATGGCTGGGGGTACAGTGGTGTCGTGAAGGCAGCAGTAGGTGTGGGCTTGAAATTCTGCTTCTATATGCGCCTTCATTCCCACTCCCAGCGGGTCTTAAATATTCAGTCCTTAGTGTTGAAGCAGTCAACTGCTGAGACCCGCATGATGTTTGCTGGTGGTTTAATAAGTCCATATGATAAAATAATATATCCTTCAACTCCCTGTATGCACAGGTAAAAGGATAAGTCAGAACTTACAAGTCAATCAATTTAACCTTGGTAGTGGGAGAATTATTAGCAATGATAATCCAGGATAAAATTAACAGCCACTTGGACAAATGTAAATTAATTAGGGGAAACCAGTACAGATTTGTTCAATGTCAAAATTGTGTTTAACTTAATTGAGTTTTTTGATCTGATAATGAATATGATCAGGTGCACATGATTTTCCAAAAGGCATTTAATGAAATGTCATATAAAAGTGCTAAAAAGGGACAGTAGCAGAATGGATATGAACTTGGTTGAGTTAAAGGAAAAAGAGACTAGAGAGATTTACAACATACCTCACTTCCTTTTCATGTAGGGCTATTTGAACTCAGTACTAAGTTCAGACAGTACTGTTTTCAATATAGTAAGGACCCTAATTTGCTGCATCGCAGTCAATAATTTTGCAAATGCTTATGAACTTTGGACAATGTCTGTAGAACTGTCAAACTATGAAGTTGTTTAAATGCCTGGCCATTTAAAAATTGGAGAAAAGCCTGTTTGTATCAGTAAAGGTTAAAAACAAACCTGTTCAAGTAGTTACAGTAGCTGTTTGTTTACATCTACCTAAAGGCTAATATTACTACTATTAATGTTTAACTGCTTTCTATAACCCCTAGTTAGATTAGTTGGGAGTGGATCCTAGGTTCTCAGTTTGATTGACAGCTTGATAAGATTATGAAATGATTAGTTGCCCTTATAGGGTTACAAGCACAAGAGTCCATGTTTTATTAGAGATTAATGACTTGAGGGAATTTAAATATTTGAATGGGCTTTTAAATTATAGTAAAGGTTATAATAGATACTTAAACCGATTCATCAATTTCATCTCTACATGGCTCTCAGGACTACTCATGTTGGGTGAATTGGCATGGCGAGTGTAAGGGCAAAGAGTGGTGGTTGGAGATTTAGGAGTTGACACTAAGCTGGTATGAAGTTGATAAAGGGCCACAGGAGCAGGTGGGATCATGGAATGGCATAAGCTGGCATTAAGTTGACATGAGGGCTACAGGGCTAATGGGTTAACATGAATTGGCATGGGTAATACATGGAGTAGGTGGGTGGTGATGATGGTATTTGAGGTTTGAGGGATAGATGGTCTTAAACTTAAGAAAACAACTAGATAATGTCCAAGAGAACTGGGACACTTAGACATTAAGCAGGAGGCAATAAGATTCTATCTAGTCTGGATAATGCTCTTGTGGGACTGCCAGAGTAAATAAATACAGAAATAGGGGGGCAGAGTACACTGCAGTATAAAATATTCCATGCAAAATCTTAAAAGTGATTTTATTTTATTGTCTTTTGCTTTCTCAAGACCTGAACAGCTGATTGAATGAAAAAGAATGAATATTCTATTTCACGTTGCAAAAACAAACAGATATTTAAATTTTGGAAACTGAAGCTTCAATTTTACCTTTGGTTGGATATTAGGTAGGGACCTCCTGGAAAATTGATCAGATCTCAGCAACCTAAGTCCATTTTAACTGTTAAATATTAGTCTACTTTTCGCTTGTATTAACAAGAAACAGTGGTTGGTGGGTGGGAGCTGGGAGAAGAGAGTTGGCCAGCGGAGGCTGTTAAGGACAAGAATGGTCCCTGGTCATTGGGTGAAGGTGCCTGTCCAGCTTGTCCATAAATCAGTCTTGTGGGACTCAATGGAGTACTCCTGATCTTTGCACACTCACAAGGAAAGTAAAATAACAGGTTAAAAAGAAAGACATTTTTCTGTTGGATTTCTTTTAGGCCCAATTCCTTTTCCCACTAGGTATTTCAGGTGACAATGCCTCTCAGGCCCACAATTACATAGCATTAGACCCCAGAGGTGACATTATAATTCTGTTTGTTTATTAAGGAAAGACATCACTTGTTACTTGTAAAAACAAGGTGTAGAGCTCAGATTCTCCAGCATCTGCAGTTCCTACTATCTCTGAAACAACTTGTTACCTGTTGGTGTCCTTCTAACCTGCCCAGGATAGCATGTTAGTATTATAAGTATTTTCCTAATCAGCCTGTTTAGAGATGTTATAATACACCTTTGGAGCAGGTAGGACTTGAATCCAGGCCTTCTGTCCAGAGAGAGGAACACTGCCACTCTGCCACAAGAACCTAACCGCTTAGAATTGCAACCTGATGGATCAGTGAGGCTTTCAGCATGAGAATGCCATGAGCAATTTTAACTGAATCAGAGATAGTAGGACCTGCAGATGCTGGAGAATCCGAGACAACAAGGTGCAGGGCTGGATGAACACAGCAGGCCAAGCAGCATCATAGGAGCAGAGAGGCTGACGTTTCGGGCCTAGACCCTTCATCAGAAAAGGGGGAGAGGAAGGGGGTTTTGAAATAAATAGGGAGAGAGTGGGAGGCGGATAGAAGAGGGATAGAGGAGAGGATAGGTGGAGAGGAAACAAACAGGTCGAAGAGGCGGGGATGGAGCCAGGAAAGGTGAGTGTAGGTAGGGAGTTAG